CTCGTGTTACTTTTCAGCATTTGAATTCGTATGTTGAATTTTTTCATTCTAATATTTTAGGATTGAATATTGTGAATCACAATTTCACGGAATTGATAAGGGTTATCTGATATTTTTATTCTACGTTGCCATTGCAATTCGTCGGAGATGATGTAACCGTACCGTTGGAATTCTATTTCAAATATTTTTTATTCTTTTCTCAGAAAAGTATTATTCTCTGGAATCAGGCCAACGATCAGGTGCAGTCACCTCACTCCTCAGCGTCACACAAGTTGAGTTTCCATATAAAACTCGAGTTTTTTATTCTTTGCGTTTGTTACGTCTGGTGACTTATCGTATTTTTATTGTTATTGAGAATTACTTTTATGGAGTTGTATTTCTTCAAGTTTTATTTTTTTAATGGATCAGTTGATTGAATTTATTCACAAAAAAGTGATTATGATTTGAGTCAAGTCGGAGAGACATTTGATTTCAACAATTCAAGTTCTAATTATACGAGTACACTGAAAAAACTGCTCTTTCATTAAGGTCAAGTATCCCTCCGACTTGAATCAAGTGTCAATTCACTTGAATCAAGTCGCAGAATTATCGCTCTAGTCTTCAAATACTTGATTCAAACAGAAGCCAATGGATTGATTAATCCCTAAAAATCTACCGGTGTCACGTAATATGTACCAACTTTATTCAAGTCATTAAAAGTTTGATTCAAGCCGACAAATCTTGATCCAAATCAAATTGATGCTTGATTCAAGTCCGACAGATACTTGATTCAAATATTTAAGTTGTAATTCTACAAATAAACTGAAAAAACTACTCTTTCATAAGGATCAAGTATCCCTCGACTTGAATCAAATATTAATTCACTTGAATCAAGTCGCAGAATTGTCGCTCTAGTCATCAAATACTTGATTCAAACAGAAGCCAATGGATTGATTAATCCCTAAAAATCTACCGGTGTCACGTAATATGTACCAACTTTATTCAAGTCATTAACAGTTTGATTCAAGCCGACAAATACTTGATCCAAGTCGAATTGATACTTGATTCAAGTCGGAAAGATACTTGATTTAAAAATTTAAGTTGTAATTCTACAAGTAAACTGATAATACTACTCTTCATAAGAGTCAAGTATCCCTCGACTTGAATCGAGTCGCGAAATCTACTTGAATCAATAAATAGAGTCCGACCCAAATCAAGTGGCTATGCAGTTTGCACATTTTTTAGTGAAACTCCATTCAAACTGCCGAGAACCTCACGAAATGAGCCGATCCTCGACCCGATTCATAAATCTAGTTTTTTCTTTATAAATCTACAGGTCACGTGATGAATCCCCTCCCCAAATATTGAAAAACGTCCCTCCACAGAATACAATCTTTTGCTCTCCAGCTAATTGATGAGGCGTGACCGAACCGGAACTGAATGAACAGACTCTCATCTGGAGTACATGCTTGTCATGCACCTCAGTTCGGTTTCCTTTCATGCAGTAAAAGAAATCCATCAATCGCGCTCCAGAAAAGTATGACCGCACGCTGACGAGTTCTGCTGCGGACACTGCGTGTCACTCCCCGTAACGCTCACGCTTGAAATATCTTTGGGGCACGTCCAGCGGATGGACCATTGTCCATTCTTCACCCGCGTGAACTTGAATGGGAATCTGATACCTCCTCCACCGAGTTTCGTGTATTCTTTTGCGTTTTTCTTCTTTGAATTTTTTATTTGCGGGACTCGGAATTTTGCCAGGGTACTTCAGCCACTTCAGTGCAGATTCTGGGGGGTGAGAATAAGTTTCTTTTAATTTTTGAAGCTATCCCAAGTGTCAGATGGCATTAAATTCAGAGGATTTTCAGAATTTTTGTGAAATTCTTATGAATTTTGAAGTCTTTACAGGGAATAATTTCATTTATATTCAAGTCACGAGAAAAATGGGAAATTTTATTAATAAAAAGTGACTAATTCAGTTGTGGAACAATAGAAATATCAAGAATATAATTTTATATATAGTTTATACTTCATATTTTATATTTTTCGTCACCCAAAAAAATAAAATAATAATTTCAAGAATTATAAAAATAACAATTTGTACTGAAAACATTTAATTTATAGTGTATTTTCCCCAAAACCGTCAAAATTTGAAGCAACTTCAATTAACAATCCATGAAATTAAATTGTAAACCCTTTTTTTTCTCCATCGACCCCTCCCTTTTATTTATCTTTATTCTTTAATGCATTTTGTTTCGACCCTCTCGCTGGATGTTCCGTATATACACGGCTAGAAAATAGGGTTTAAAAGGCGATAACAATAAATAAGAGAAGATCGTAATTCTCAGCGTGGCCGGGGTCACCCCGAGATTCATAGTTCCGGTGCACCTTTTGCAAGCGAGCCAAAAATCCCCTGTACACACTATCACAGAGTGTACTCACGTGCCAGAATCCTCTTCCCCGTTCTCGTTGTTGTTTTATTTTTTTTTCCGCTGTCTACCTGTACTCGTATTTATGCGTTTTATACTGGACGAGAGTGTCGATTCAATTTCACAGAATATCGGGGGGCGACTCGCCCCATGATTGGGCGACACCACGACTTCGAGGTGATGAAGTCTGTTTCACGTGATTACAGCGTTGATTTTAGTGATTTCAGGAACATGCACCCAGAAAAATAATTTATTTGAATCAAATAAAGTTTATTCAAAGCAAATGAAAGCAAAATGAGATGATTGTGTTTCAAAAATAATCTTTTCTCTTTGGAATAGTTGGGCTTTTCTTCGATAAAAAATTATCAATAAATTGTAGAAGAGAGTTCTTTTCCATTCAAATAACATTGATTATGGAGTTTAAATATGATTATGGGGTTTGAAAAATTAGTATTTTTCATTCAGTGATAATTTGGTTTTTCTTCAGTAGGGGGGCCTCGCCCCCTTCAACCCCCCATCGGGGGGCTTCGCCCCTCCCTAACCGTTGTCGCACTTTTGACTTCAGCCTCGACATAAAATAGTACGCGATATTCGGACGATAAATGGCAAGTTAAGATGAGTGGAATCGCCAGTTATTTTAACAAAGCTCCGGAATAAAATCAAACTCATTAATATAGGTTTTTTTCCAATAACCAGCAGAGTTTTATCATTAAAATTTTGAATTTTCAGCGATAACTAATTCATTTCATGTCATTCTCGAGTTAATGACAATGGAAAATGGTCCATTTTGCCTTAATCTCCTCTAACAATTCATGGAAACAATTAATTTTTAGAGAACAAAAATCACACGAATGATTCCACAGCAATTCAAAATCACAAGAAATACAAGTCTCGATATAGAACAACTTCACGAAACGTTCTGCTTTTAGAGATAGGAATGTCTTAAATTAAGACGTCTTGAAAACACAAGTTTTTACAGTGTACCCAACGACTTCTCGAAGACACTTGAAAGCTTAGACTCGCATCCCAACGGCGAAATCTGTGAAACTGAGACAATGAGGAAATGGAAGGGACTGGAAATAGAGGAAACACAGTGCCTGGAGCATCTCGTTTGCTCGTCCTAGCCCTCCACGTCGTACTCCCCCTCAAAACACAAAGCATTTGAGGATCTTGTCTGCGCGGCTCTTTAAAATTTCAGATTATAGATATATGTGGAAATGTATCTCCGGTTCCATTAGCCTTGGGTCTCGATGTCCCTGCTCCCCATATTCTTTAATATTCCATTGCATTTCCAATAACCGAAATGGAATATCAAATTACGGAATGTCAAATGTTAGCGGAAGACGAACATCAACGAAAATCATTCACGTGAACTCTCGTATTTAATTTTTCAATGGAAAATAGTGCTGTTCGCAGCTGGAATCATGGGGGTATTCTGTGATTAAGTCAAATCGATATCACCTGAAATCATTTAAGGTATCTACTTAGAAAACAGGTTTTTCTTACGATTGTCCCCATGTTTTTCATAGATAATGTTCATAACATGCCCCGGATACTGAAAAAAAATTCCAACTAGCTGTACTACACAGTTTAGGAGATGATAAATAATTAAATGCGGGCGTCTAGCACGCGAGGCACAGGCCCATCGGGGGTTATGAGTCCGCTCAAACTCGATTTTTCCATTTTACGAAAAAATAGTTCTTATAATGCTCTTAAGGATTTTTGACCTATCAAGTGGACAACTCAGTTGAAAAGAAAAATAAAATTGTCTGAATAAATCATTCATGTTACAAATTATTTTTCTCATTAAATTAGAAGTGTTATTGCGTACTTCTTCGGTTTCAAAAACAATAATTAAAGAAAATGTTCGTAAATAATGGAGGACTTGTGACTGCGATGGTAAGAGTCGAATTTTGATCGGGGAAAATCGGCTAGTAGTGGGGTTGTAACAGTGAGATGAATGTTTGTGTGTGTTATACATGTCCATATGCTTCCAGCACTGAATTATCGTCACCGACTTTACCGACCTCGATCAGCTGTTGTGCGGTGTTGTCGCGTCGCTCGACTCGTAATGGCGGTCAAATTTTTTTTTAGAGGAATTCGAAAATCCATCGAAGATATCACGCCTATATGGCCCGGTCCCCTACTTGTTCTCGCCGGCGATAGATTCTCCATAGTCTAAAGTAAATGGCTTGTGGTTTTTTTTCAATATCTTGAGTGTCTAACCCATGCAACATCTCGATCAAAGTTCACACGGTCACGTTTCTTCCCGAAGCGTAATGTTACAAGAAGTGATTTACAGAAATTAATTTCTCACTAGGATGCCCCGATGGGAGGATTAAGATTATTACGAATGTGTGGCTCAAACGTGAAGCTGACATATGAGACAATATCAAAATTATGATGAATAATGTGGGTTTTGGCTAGACATCCTTAAGTAAGAAAAGCATGCGTTGAAAACTGTCGCCATGAGCAATGACAGAACGACATCAACGGCGCAGCCGCGACAGCTGTAGTTGTAAAATAAAATAAAATCTCAAATTTCAGTTCCTCAAAACAAACAGATAATCGTATTTTCCATTTTTGTTTCAGCCTCACAATGCCACAGCTCCAATGCGTCCAATGGTGAGTCCAAATAAATCCTTTTATGACATCTCTATAATTCAACAGTTGACACTGATACTCGTGCACCACCATTCACGCAATAATGAATGAACCGCAGCAATAAAAAACAGAACATATAAATGGATAATTCGAGACGCCGGGCGCGCTCAATGCATCTCCCTCCGTATAAATAATTTATAATCCCAGCCACGGAGGAGGCAAGCAAAATGCTGTGCCTCTGGATACATTGACGGAGAAAAATGTGTGCGCTTCAGGTTAATGCAGGGACTTAAAACCTCACAGGGTTGTTTTCCGGTGGGTCGAAATGAAGAGAGATAAGCGAAAACGGGCCTTCGTGTAACTGGCGAACCGAGTGGAAACTTTCGCGACGCCTCTGTTTTTCCATTTTATGCATTCAAATACCGATTTTTACGCTCATCTCGCGAATTTGTTTTTCACTCAATTTCAAAATCACATCAACCTGAATTCGTCATCCGTCAGATTGAGGTATTATATTCCCGCAGAACAATCAAAGGACGAGAGAACGATTTTGCATTTCACATTTTATGTCTTGATTTCCACAAGAAAATACTTTTGAAAATTGTACAAATGGAAATCAATTTGGAAAGTTCTAGAGTGATACCCAATGATTCATTGAATTTTCAATGATGATATCACTGAATAAAAAATAATAATTTTTCAAACCCCATAATCATATTCAAACTCCGTAAGCAATTTTATTTGAATGGAAAAGAACTCTCTTCTACAATTTATTGATAATTTTTTATTGAAGAAAAGCCCAACTATTCCAAAGAGAAAAGATAATTTTGAAATACAATCATCTCATTTTTAACACAATTCACTTTATTTGAACGATAAAAAACTGTCTTCCACAACTTTCATATAATACTTCTTTCAATTTGTTGAACATGATAAACTTTATTTTACCAAAAAATACTCTTTTATATTAACAAAAAATACTCTTTGGTAACCAACGACAACGTCAACGGGACTGAACGCCATTGCCCATTGCAGCTCTCATCATGGCGTAGTACTCGCGACGTTCTCTATACATGCCACCAGCGGCGCTGGTGGCGCCTGTTTATCGCCCTAGACCTTACTTATCGCATCGCGTAATTGCTTAATGCATAAGGTCATAATACGCAACTTATTGCGCGCAAAACAAAGTCAATAAGTCGCACTTTTGACGTAGCCGTGACATAAAGTGCCTTCGGCGAGTGCTACCTTCCGAGAATTAAAGAAGACCAAAAAATCCGCGGAGCGTGCGTAAAATTGCGCTTTATGCACAAGCGCTTCGCAATCGTTGCAAAATGGCCGATGACCTAGTCTAAAAATAATCCTCAATAAGAGTTCTAACAGTCGACAATATCTGTTGAAAAGAACGATATTGAAAAGAAAATTGTCAGTCTTGAATATCCTCAACGAAAAAAAATATTCATCAGTCTCGTTACATAATTAACGACCGCGGAAAGCCCTTATCCCCGTGATTGGCCGGTTCCTCTCTCATCTCCGTAATTGGACACTTCTTTTTCCCCCCCAGGTTTATGAATTCACCAGCAGTATTTAAAGGGACGTTAAATATTTGGTGTGTCGGTTGCCGGGTAGCAACGCGCCTGCGCTCGCATCCCCATGCCTTCGCTGTATCTAGCCGCATATATATTCGCACTCTTCTTCACTCGGTATTACATACTGTCTCACTTCAACATTTCCAGCACCTGCGCCCGCCCACCGGATGGAGGTGGGGGGGAAGAGCAAAGTCGAGGGGATTCCTCTCTCTGTCTCGCGATAACTCCTTCGCCTGGCGACAGGAGCTGAATAGACACCCCCTTGACGCTACGAGGGCCATTCATCTATCGATCGACATCGAATATAGAACTCTGACTATGTAATCATTCATTCCCCTCCGTAACAGTACCTATTTCAGCTGCATATTGAGTTGTCTGCGGTTTTTGGGAAATATTTGATGGTTAATTTGATTTTATATGGACGAGGTGAACGGTACCCTACATTTTTTAGATGAAGATGCAGCCGAATGGAATAAGATTTATTTTCAGATTCATGATCTTGAATTGAGACTTGTGAGAAAGTCTTGAATTGAGATTTTCAAATGTCTCAGGTTAAAACTTTCAAAAGTCTTCAAGTGAGAGCATGAAAGGTCTCAATCTGAAACTTTCAGAACTCGACTTGAAGAAAAATTTCAAGTTAAGCTCGGAAAGTCTTAAATTGAGGATTTTCTTGTTTTGAGGCGTTTTAAAATTCACGTTTTCCCCAATAAAATTTCTAGTGCCGGCACTGGAATTTTTTCCTGGTCGTCACTTTGCGCCTCTTTTCCCGTGCTAGCACTAGAATTTTCCTAAAAAATTTCCGTGAATTATCAAAAATTATCAGTTGAATCTCGTGAGGACTGTATAAAATACCCGTCAAATAGTGCAATTTTATTCGCTAAAATTTGGATGGGAAGACTCAGTGAAATTTGAAATTTAAAATTTTTCTCACCAGTGTACGCCATCATCCAATAACCTAAGACGCCGAATAAAATAACAAATCAATAATGTTCATCATCAATTCCCCTCCGTTCTTCACACATCTCGCAGCATTGGATATCGTCAATTCCTCAAACAGTATATTCTCATATTCTCCCGAATTTCGTTATGTAAACCGAAATAGGACGGAATTTATGACATTCTAGCGGTAAATTCTCGGCAGGCAACTGGGTACAGAGGAAATTCACTACACCTATACATTCGTAGGTGCGCGAAAACGGAGGTGGGAGGGGGGGTTGAATTTTTGGTGAGACCAAAGTGAGAGACGATGGGTTGAGGCACAAGTGAGATTTTCAACCCCCGAGACTTATTCTTACGTGAAGCCCGCAGCATAAGATATTCAAATGAAACGTCTCTTGGTGGTTCCTCGTATATACGAACGGAAAAAGGAATATAAAGGAGGAAAGAAGAGGTGGCAAGCTCACATTGCCGTTGCCACTGCTCTCTTTATTGGGTAGGGTTTTACCCGTACGTTAGTATATGGCTTTATACAAAAGACGCCGCTGACACAGGAGACGGAATATATCGGCGCTGACAATTTCCTTAACAATGTGAGGATTTTCCTTTTGAGGAAAATTGAAATGCGAGAATTGTGATATTTCGGGGCTCACGGGGAGGGGAGTGGCAATATTGCTCGTGGTCCTTTCAATGTTCGTTGACAATTCGATTGAATTTTTCATCTGGGTAACGGTGTTGAAAGTTTCTAGTGGGTGTTTGGGGTCTTTGGGGTTTGACGTGGAGACGTCTGTTATTTCACGGTGCAGGTCATTCCGGCGGCACCCCTACCGGCCAGCGCCATCCGGCGAATTTTTAGTGAATTCCAGATTATTCTAGAAATTTCGAGAAAATTCTCCGATTTTACAGAAAATTCAAGAAAATTCTCCGATTTTCTAGAAAATTCGAGGAAATTTACCAGGTTTGTGGGAAATTGGAAAACATTCTCTGGTTTTCCAGAAAATCCGCGCAAATTTTCCGGATTTTTAGAAAATTCGAGAACATTTTTCTATCCTCTGAAAAATTCGAGAAAAGTCTCTGATTTTATAGTGAATTCTCCAGTATCCTCGAAAATTTGAGAAAATTTCCCGGTTTCACAGAAAATTGGAGAAGAAACTGAGATTTTCTACAATATTTGGATATTTTTTAGCTGTGTGAACTTGCAGTCGAAGTTTGATAAATCGATTTTTTTTCTTATAGTATCGATTGTACTCAGTGAGTACCTGAATGTACCACATTCATTTTCGTTTGTACCCCACACCCCTAGACGCGAATTGTGATATTTTGGGGCTCAAAATATCACAATAAGGGGTGCGAGAAAAATCGCGCAGCGTCGGAAATGAAGGAACGGAAAAAATTTTCATGAGCAAGGATTCAGCATGGATAGTCCTTGTATGTACTATATTTTTCCATTTCATTTATCAACCGCTTCAATACTTTACCCCCTTGTAAAATCTTAAATGTATGAGGGACGTCAGGAAAACATACAGATAGATTCTAAATACTCGTACTCGTTAGTACTCGTTTGTGCCAACGAAAATTATTCATTATTATTATTATTTTTATTCTCATCAAATCACCTGATTCCATTTTTATCAACCGTAAAATCATTTCCATTCGATTCCTGAGAAAATTTGGGGTCACTACAGGCAGATGAATGGCTTAGAATTGCGTTTTTTCACTTCCTACACCCTATACAAGATGAATTGAATTAATTTTTTTTGCGATTTCGTTTTTCGCTATTATCTCGGAAACTATGAGAGATAGAGCCTTAAAACCTATTCCATTCGATTCCTGAGAAAATTTGGGGTCCCTATAGGCAGATGAATGGCTCGGAATTGCGTTTTTTCACTTCCTACACCCTATACAAGGTGAATTAAATTAATTTTTTTTGGCGCTTTCGTTTTTCGCGATTATCTCGGGAACTATGAGAGATAGAGCCTTAAAACCTATTCCATTCGATTCCTGAGGAAATTTGGGTTCCCTATAGGCAGATGGACGGCTCAGAATTGCGTTTTTTCACT